TTGTCTATATCTATCTCGATTCGTTTTGGCTGTTACAAACAACCGTTATGTGAACAAAATTAATATACCCTTGTGCACAAGTGCGCTCGGGTATAAAAAGATAGAAAATAAATAAAAATTTAATTTAACAAAAAATACATACACGTATGTAAATAAAAAAAAACATATAATCTAAAAGAAACAAAAAAATTAAATAAAAATAAGAAATGAAAGCAAATAAATTCAAATAAAGTAAACACAGAATAAAAAATAAAACGAATAGAGACTATAAAGACAAGATAAAAATCAAATACAAATACAACATAATTATAGAAAACGAAATAGAAAGAAACAAAATAAAATAAATAAATAATGTAAATTAAAAAAAAATGAGATGAAAGAAAATATAATAATGAAAGAACAATGGAATAAAATTTTCTAACTAAAAAATAAAAAAAAAACTGAAATTAGAAATAAAATAAATAAGTAATAAAACACAATAAAATAAAAAGAAAGTAAATTTAATCAAAGTAAAATGAATTCAAAAAAATAAAATGAAAATTTGTGAATAAAATAAATAACCAAAAATTATGTTAAATAAAGAATAAATATTTTCAATAATAAAAAATATAATTAAATAAAAAATTCAATTAAACATAAATATATAAAATATACTAAATTCAAGAAAAAAATAAAAACAAAATAAATTAAATTATTTGAAATGGCTTGAATAAAATTAAACGAAAAATTTGATAAAATTTACTTAAAGAAATAAAAAATCAAAATATACTGATAGCCCTTGTCGCTAGTTCCTTTTGAATAATTTATAATTATATTTTTAATAAATAAATAATAAAACAAAAAAAAAGTTCTAGCATTTTGATTGTTAATAAAGTTTTCTTTGGAGATTTTTTCAATCATATTTGCGTCTTTAAAACTACTTTGTGCACACTAGGGATGGGTAAATTCGATATTCAAAGCTTCGATATTAGATTTTTAGTCGAATTTTAGCTCCAAAATAGCGAATTTTTAAAATCGAACTTGTGGTGCTAAAACTCTAAAAAAATCGAATTTCGTCTTTAGTGTTTACAAACATTTTGTAATTTTTTTTGGATTGATTCTTTCATACTTAAATAAAAAACATGATAAATTTGAAACGTTTATCGATTTTTTCTGACATTTTTTTACGTCGCTTTTTTTAAGTCTTACATAAACTTATAAACTTATTTTTGGTTGTGAAGCTAAGAATAACCTACGAATAATTAATTACATTAATATAAGTTCAATTCAATAACTTTATCGATTTTTGTTAGCATTTTTACAAACAACCTTTTAAATTTTCAGTAAACAAAAAAAAAAAATGAAAATTTGAATAAATCGAATTTTTACCATCGAATTTCGTTTCGAATAATTGTATCGTTGGGAAATGTTCGAAATTCGGAAAAAATCGAATTTCAACCCCTTACAACTCATCCCTAGTGCACAAATATGTTGATCAAAAAGGTTTCAGTAAAAAAAAAATAACGACAGTAAAAAAAATAAACGCTAAATCAATGGCTAATTTTATAATAAATTTTTTATTCGAGTTTAATAAGTAATTATGTTCACACCATATCTACCTTAAAAAATGCGGTGCCATATTCGCTCATCAGCGTATCACTTTTCGGTTTATTTTTATTATAAAGCGCATACAAGTAAAATTTCGATTCCATTTCTAAGAAGGCGCTGCCAATCTTCAACGGATTACGTTCGTAACGTTCCAATTCGTTGAGAAAATGCCATTTGTGGAATTCGAAGATCTTCTCAATGTTGCCGAAAATGACATTACGTTGGCCGCGTAACGGCTGTGGTATGTCTTCGCGCAACAACTCGTCAACATAATTTTCAATAACATAATTTAACGAGTGTACATAGTCGCGTTCAGTGCCAATCATTTCACGCATGATCAATAGAAGCGTTCTAGAAAATCCAAGGGAAGAGCAACACAAGGTTAGCGCGCTTAATGAAATTTATGTATGTATGTATGTATATTTAAAAGTAGTTAAGTAATTATTTATGTACGCACTTTTGTATTTTCGGATCCAAACAACTCAGTTCTTCCAGCTTCGACAATTCCAAACTCGAGGCGTGGTATTGTAGGTGTGCATTTGCCTCCATGGGTGAATGTATATCATTGTAACGCTTAACGGGTCGTTCGTAACATTCAAAGTCCAATTCATCGCTGTTGTGACTAAAATTGTTGTATATAAATATGTAGCTGTTAGACAATAATTGCATTTAACAACACCTCACTCCCAACTTACCTCTTGCCATACAAATTTGCCGCCTCATTGAGACTCTGACACGAGCATACCCGCGTCAATTTGGGATTTCCTTCGCAGCGTTCGCAGCCGCCCACACCAGAGTCGGCAATTTTCGATTGCTCCTCCTCGCCATCCTCCAGCTCCAACTCTTCACCATCCACATCCAGCATTTCATCCATATCCTCCATATTGCGACTTTCGCGCCAACACTGACACGTCTGCCCATCGAAGGAACCAATACCCGAACTGGAGCGATGACTCAAACGATTCATGCGCGGCACTGGTGTGCTAGTGATGACGGCCACGTGTTGTAGTTGCTGCGGCAACTGCTGCTGTTTGCTCAAATTGCTGCTGTGGCGACTATTGCTGAGGTTGAGACTATTTGGTTTGTTGTTGTTGGTTGGCGCATCACTGCACACAACTTGGCGGCTAACATTTTCAGTTGTCTCTGTCGTTGACTGCTCAATGTTGCTGTTTTCTTCTTGCCCCAATTGTTGCTGTTGCTGTTGGCGGTACTTTTCTAGCAGCAGCGTAGCACCAGTCACTTCGGCCAGTCGCTGCATCTCCTGCTGCACATGTGGTTCGAGATTGTGTACCGTCAGCAGGTGTTGCAGCCGTGATGCAGCCTCTATGCGTTCGCGCGCCGACTCTAGTTTTTCGGCGAAGCAGTCGAGCGCTGATTTCAGATTGACGGCGCTGTCATGCAGCGCCTCCACGTTGATTGCAGCATCGTACAAATCGCGTCCCTTGGCCAAGTGTTTCTGTGTGGGCGAGAGATGGTAGAGGAACGAATAAGTAAAAGGGGATACTTTGGTAAAAATCTTAAATAAAAATATACGCTGATCTCAAGAAGTTGAAAATTTTTATTTACGGCGCAAATAGAGATATGAAGGTGGCTAGAAAGACGAGAAGAACTACCAGATATAACCGATACATGGAACCACAGGTGGCGACTGAAGAGTCAACTATGTTTTCTGATCAGCCTACTTAGTACTACACGACCTTGTAACAAAGATTGAAGTCGGGATGTAGGCAAGGGACTACACAATGGCGGTCTTTGCTGGTGTTGAGTGGCGTCTCACAACGCTACATCTGGATCTATGAATCATAAAATGCTTCTACTTCATATTATCTGGAAGATTGCTGACTTAGGAGGAGGAAGCGAAAATCAAATCAGGGTGTGCAGGGAGTTCCAAAGCTGATGTAAAGGCCGCTCTTATCTCTTTAGTAGTTGTCCAAGAATTAGTGTATATGCACTCTTCTCACGACAGTCGGGTCTACATAACCATAATTTAATTTTTAGATTTTTTGTTTTAAAAATATTTTTATTTAGTTTCCTCTTTTTCGTTAATAATTTTTTTTTATTTAATTTTCATTTTAGTTTTTAGATTTAATTATTTAAAAATATCTTTTTTTTTTGATTTCGTTCAAGTTTTCGGAACCAATTGTTATTTTTTTAATTAATGCTTTTCTTTTTTCTTTTAATTTAACTCTTCTAATTCTTAGATTATATTACAGTGGTATCTGGCTGGAGTGAACACCCGATGCTACGAACACCTCGAAAGAGTGACCATGAAAATTTTTCTATTAAGTACTCTATAGAGTGAACAATTTTGAGTCTTTGTAGAGTGAACAAAATTTAAAGCCAATTCATTCCAAACTCAAAACTCTAACGAAAACTTAATAACAAAAACGATAATCCCTTCGCCAGGCCGATCCCGTAAATCCCCGTATAAGGGGTTCTCAACTCGGAGAATCGGCAACTAGTGAAGTGTGAAGACCATCTGAAGACTTGTAACTTTGCCTCTGGTGTGAACACACTTTGGTCAACCGTGAGGTCACTGTCCAATCCGACGAAGCATGACGACAAAGTTGCATATTTTTTGGCGACCACGCTTCGTCCGACCCGGAGCGATGCGCGAGCTATTTTAGCCGACAGTTCATACTGCATCTTCCGGCGGACAAAGCTAAACGTAGAGTGACCAGAAGGCTGCACAAACCCCAACAACCAAGTGGGGAGAGTGGTTCCACTGCTTAAACCGGGGAAACCGTCCAACAAAGGAGAGTCTTCTAGCCCGATAGCTCTCCTTTCCCCGTTTGCGAAGACACTAGAGACCTTCTACTCCCGCACTACACAAATTACTCAACCCCAGCGAAGCATCAACATGGGTTCCATAAAGTGCACAGCACAACAACAACACTTGACGCCATAAACAGCCAGATAACTCGTGGCCTTAACCGAAACTCCCCATGTGAGAGAACTATTGAAGTAACGCTACCAGAAGACAAACGGTCGGCGGCGAATTACCTGAGTGGTCGAAACTCGTCAGTGATCTTTAGAGACAAATCGAGCAAACCTTGGAAAATAAAACAGGGAGTTCAACAGAGTGGTGTCCTTTCCCACTACTGTTCAACTTTTACATTTCTAAGCTCCCTCAACCACCAGAGGTAGTCTCGATTGTGTCTTATGCTGACGATTGCTCAATAATGGTTATCTCGCCGAGCTTTCTCGCTTCGTCACTGCACGGAGCCTAACCCTCTCCCCTATAAAATCCTCAGCAACGCTTTTCACCACTTGTACGAAGGAGGTCAGACTGCAACTGGGTATTCTCGTCGATGACGAACCAATTCCGACGTTGAATAACCCGAAGGTCTTCAGTGTAACCTTCGAAGGTCTGCTCTCCTTCTCGGTGCATACAACCGCAATTGTCAATAAAGTATAAAGCCCCAACAAAGTCCTCAAGTCGCTAGCCGGCAAACAAAGAAACGTTGTTAGCAACGTTCAAATCAATAGGCCGGCCGGTTCTCAAATATGCAGCGCCTGTGTGGTTACCGGGGACTAGTAGGACGCAGTGGATAAGCTGCAGACCTGCCAAAACACTGCACTCAGAAAGCGACAGGATTCCTTCTGATGTTGCCGCAACATCACCTGCGCGACGAGGCACACATGCTGCCGATTAAGGAGCATAATACAATGCTCTGCAAGCAATTCCTAGTAGGGTGTTATCATGTTAGCACCCAAAAAGACATCTGATTGCGGAAGAACCCTCGCCACGGCACGTCAGAAGGCATATATATGAACTGACGGACGAAGTCCGGGGTTCATAAAACTATCTCTGAATCCAACAACTTACCGACAGGCCTTGAACGAAATTCAAAGAGAGCCAGTCCCGAGTTATATAGACTATCGACCTGTGAATGCCGTTCTGGACACGCAACCACCTGACGTGGACTACACAGAGCTTCGTCTGCCTCGGGAGAATCGGACCACATAGCCCAACTTCGATCGGGCTACTGCAGGAGGTTGAACTCATACCTGAACAGAATAAATGCAGATGTGCCAAATGAATTCCCGTCATTCGGAGAGACGCTCCATGACACGCAGCATCTCTTCGCATGCCCCCTGAACCCCACCCGGATAATGTGTCTGGCCTTATGGACAGACCCCATCGAGGCTTCACGCTTCCTGGGCCTACCGCTATAGCGTTTACGTCAACGATACAACTACAACAGGAAACATGTGTTGGGATTAACTGTGTGAAAAGACGACACTTCAGAGTTCTTAAAAATTTTACTTTAAAAGACGCACTGCGCAATAAAATTGATTGTAAAGAACAAAAAACTCAATCTGGATATAGTGAACAATCTGTTTTCTATGAACTGGTCTTGCATTAATTAGTTCACTCGACCCAGATAGCACTGTATTTACAAAAAAAAATTTTAGAGTTTTTATTTTAAAAATATTTTTGCTATTTATTTAATTTCTGCTTTTACGTTAATTTTTTTTTTTTAATTTTTGGATTTTATTTAAATTAATTTTTAGATTTTTTGTTTTAAAAATATTTTTATTTTTTTATTTAATTTCTTCTTTTTCGTTGATAAAATTTTTTTATTTAATTTTCATTTTAAGTTTTAGATTTTATTGTTTAAAAATATCTTTTTTTTTGATTTCGTTCAAGTTTTCGGAACTAATTGTTATTTTTTTTTAATTAATGCTTTTCTTTTTTTCTTTTAATTTAACTCTTCCAATTTTTAGATTTTATTACAAAAAAAAATATTTTTTAATGTCATTTAGCTTTTAGTAACTAAATTATTATTTTTTTTGAATAATCAATTTTTGTTATAAATTTTTATAATCTTTAAATTGATTGTATTAAAAAGAAAAATATTTTTGTTTTAATAAGTATGTAATTTTTAAAAAACTTCATACTAAAAGACAAAATGAAAAACGCTAAGACCTCCAAGTAGGTCAATTAGTCTTTCGAAAGACAGAAAAGAGCTTTCGGGACAGGTGCCAGAATTTGCAATTGTCTTACAGAATTGCCCTTTAACTTAAATTGGTTTTGCAAGATTCTTTAAATTTCTTATGTAGATTATTATAAAATCGAATGAAAAGTGTTAAGTATATACGCTTACCATTGAAATAAAGTAATATTTTTCGAATTCCTGTTCTTGCTCTTTTATGGCGGTTTCACAGTCGAACTGCAGATTGGCAAAACGTTGCAGAGTATCATTGCCATCACTGGTGATCCAAGATGTTACCTGAAATTTGAATGAAGAATTGGATAAATTCATGATTATATTTACGTATGTATACACAAGTTTATTTTATTTTTCTGTTTATGTACATATGTAGGTACATTAGGGCGGGTACACTTTTTTGTCTATGAAATTCTAACCAAAGTTGCCGAAAAGGCAATGGGTCTAAAACCAACTTCGAGCTGTCAAATTGCGAATATAGTTTTTTCCTTAGCAGCGTTTTATTTTGCTCTAGTGACGTAAAGAAGTGTATTATTATTTTTTTTTTTCATAATGCTAAAGGGGGTCTTTTTGTATGTGGAGCCCGTTTCCGGACTTAGCTTTTTCTTAAATATTCGCCAGCGGGCGTAACTGTGAAAAATGTAAACATTTCTTAGTTTATAAAAGAAAAAAAAAACCAATATTTTACTTTTCCGCGAAATTTTTTCACACTTTCAAAATTTAATGTATAAAATTTTTCAATTAAAAATTGGTCGAAACGAGCTTCAAATCTTTATAAAAAAAGGTTCGTGGAAAATTCAGGTTTGGTTAATGGTTCAGTTAATTAATATCAGAAGAAAAAACGGCTAATCCGGTTTAAAACTGGCACACATCCCTGATTTGCACTATCCGAAATTAAATGTCATTTGTTGTCAAACAAGTGAGAATACATTAGAGGTCTTCACACTGGAAATGTTGCTTTGTTAGTTAGCAGTTTTTTTTACAGTTTAAGGTACATTTTACTTTTGTTAACCCAATGAAACCCAATGAAACAAAAAAAGCTAAATGTACGTAAAACTGCGATCTAACGAACCAAGAAAACGGTGTGAAGACCCCCCCATATTGTCAAACGGAGCTAAATAATTCAATAGGCTGTCCGCTAGTTTTTTGACTACCAATATGTATAATCAGCAACGTCATGGATTAAGGAAAAGAAGGTTGTATCAAAATATGTACGTCAACAATATTGGTTGCCAATAAATGGCTTAGGGCCGTTTTCACAGCAGAGAGTTAACACACATTCGGCAGTTAACTTTTATATTTTGTACTGAAAATCTTTAGTTAACTGCCGATTGAGAGTTAACTTGTCAATGGGAAAACGGACCTTAGTGAAAGCTAGCCATAAGCATTTATAATTAATTTTGCTTTTGCACATTTTCCCCATCAATTTTCATATCTTCTCGAATTGGTTTACTTCGCACGGTGTAGTTTTATGACCGCTTTAATAAATAACAAACATTTGGTATGGATCTGTGTATGTCAGTTAAGTCGCACACATGTATTATATATATATACATACATACGTACTTATCTGACATAAAAGTATGTATAAATAATTGTCTATATTTTCGCATATTGTATGTTGTACTCTATGATAAGTGTGTATGTACGTACATATGTAAGCAAGTGGGAAACGTAATAATTGATAAGCAAAGTGATAGGGAAAAATTTAATTGCTAAAAGTTTATATGTAGCTTTGGGCTTTGCTGACAAGAATACAATAACACTGCTTAGCGGTGAAATTTAATTTCAAGTGATATCGAGCCCCAACAGCAAAAAAAAAAACGTAAGAACATTTTGAAAAAAATGGCGCTTACGTGTTTTTAGAGTTTTCATTTTCCGATAACAATTAAACGGTCACTAACTAATTGGTCAGATCTGGCACCGTTACTATCAATTTTGTTAAATTTTTTTTTGCCAATTCATCATGAATATACCAAAGACAAATAATAATACACATCCGCACAGCTGCTACTGTAGAGCATAGTACTGAGGCGGACCATAATGAGTCTATTCGCCATCGTGCGCAGCAGCTTTATACAATTTTTTCGCAAAGCTCTTGGACCTTAGAAGATCCAGTTGCTGCAGGAATTAAAGCCGAATGGCCATCCTTTGTGCTGTACGTTCGTTCAATTGGTATAAAGTCAATTCCTAGTCAACCCGCTGTTTTACTACTATACGGCTCATTTTTCGTTCTTTGGAATTCACGAAAGATTCACGAGGCATGGTTAAATCTACAAAAACTCACTGTTTGCTGCGCTTTATGTGCCGGTACAATCGTTGGTTTTTGCTTATTTAAAGGGGGGAGCGGCTACTGTCAACGGCGCGCGTTGAGCCATGATTACGTCGTTTTCCAATCGAATGGAATACTGGCTGAGTGCAGGTTTTCCAACTACTTAATGAAGAAATTATTTGGTGAACGCGCCATTTCCGGAAACGAACCAATAGAGCCCACCAAGATCGTGCGATTCAACGCCTGTTGATTATTTTCTCAGAGGTTACGTAAATACCTTGGCTGCCCTATTTTCCGGAAAACATAAGTACGTAGAGAAAACTGCGAAGAAAGCTGTAAGATTGTACACGACATATAGTTTCATGGCAGAAAAGAGCTGGGGATGTTTCCCCAAAATACTAAGATGGATCGGCGCGCCTATAGTATGACCTATGGTAACTTATTGAGCCTTGAGACTGTTAACTTGCGAAGAAAGGAGCTTCAACACCTTTCATCGGCCCAGAGCCCTTCTGTGACATTGGAAAGTGGACACTCTCTGCTCTGGTCCGGCTGGAGGAAGCGGCTCAAAGGAAGCGCTGCTGGGACAAACCATCAGGTCCAGAGCATTCCAAAACACTTTTAGCAACATATAACCTAAACCGCGTTAAGGAGTGGTATGAATTAATCCAAAAATAACTTAAGAACTGTTATAAGAATTCTGATAGTACACTGCAGACTGAACTTTCAGCTGACCAAACTGGGAATTTACACGGAGTAGCGACGCAGGATAGATATCAAAACTGCACGACACACCTCGGAAAAGTGTCCTATACTGATCCACAAATGCAAAAGACACTTAGGGTGATTATTCAATAAACGAAAGTGTAGTGCAGTCGCGAAATTTAGGCTCAATACTAAAGTCTTCCTCCTACTGAGTTAATATGTAGACACCTTCAAAATGTAGATTAAATTGCGAATTTTTTTCCATTACTTTTTACAATTTTCACAATTAACTAGAAATTTAGGAGGTCTACGAGTAAAACGGACCTCAGATCGGTATTAAGTGGGTCGAATTACATGTCGGTAGGTGGCTCTGCAAACTGCATTTTTTTTTGTTAGATAAAAATTTGAGGAAAATAGTTTTTCCGCTAGCTCTTCCTATGTATGAATTATGTCTTGTTCTTCTCCACTAGCGCCATAACAGCTTAAGCGATTTTGGCCGAGTTCAACATAGCACAAAAATTTCAAAATTATATGCAATCTTATAAAACACAAACAAAACTTTTGTCGGTGCTGTAGTTATTATTAATACCCTGCGGGAAATAAAGCTAACTATAAGTTAACTTGAAGTTGATTAAAAAGTAACTATTATCTGCATATTTTCTTTGAGGAAAGCTAACTATATTTCTATGGCGATGGCCACGAAATAGTCAAAGGTGGTTACCTCTGCATTAGATGTCAACTAACTTGTAACTAACTACTTTTGGACATAAAATATACATAAGAGTAACAAAGTATTTTTTATTTTATTTTTATTTATCTATTGTATTTTATTATATTTCATATTTGTTTACATATTCTGCTGTAGGTGGTCCCGTACTGAACTCCGTCAGATATAACTTCAAAATTATAATAAAAAAATCGATCTTCCTTTTATTTGTCCTCAGTTCGAAAAAGTATTTGTGAAGTGCAGAAAGAAAGTGTATTCAAAGAAAAATTTGTATGGGGATATTGAAATAGAAACTTGTTTAAAGAAAACAATCTCCCCATTACGTCTGCATTACTCTTGCATTACTTTTCAACTAGTTTCAAGTTAGCTTTTTGTAGGTAACTACAAGTTATATATTTTATAGAAATTCTACAAGTTGATTATTTTTATCAATTGATAATTTTTTTGCAGCAGGGTAATAAGTTTATGGATATGCAGATACAAACGATTTTGTGTTGTTTTGAAGAGATAAGTAAATTTCGTTGCCGACTCGTTTTGTTTTTATTATACCTCATTCATAGTACTTGCTCAGTTGAGGTAGAATAACGGTGAGTCACAGCAGCAATTCATAAAGGTCGCAATTTTTATTTATTTTATTTTTTCCAATATCAAATGGAGCTACTCAGCAAAGAACGCGCCGATATGGTAACGAATTTTGTTAAAAATAATTATTTAGGTTCTAAAACTGAATTGTTATTATAAACGTTCCACTTTTTGTAGAAAAAGCACATTAAGAAAGTGCTTAACCCCAAGGAGAAACCTTTCGATGGTCTACGCGCACGCACCATTGTTGTGCTCACGCATCGCACAGATGGCGCACAAACTTTCATGAAACTGACTGATACACAGCTTTTGTATGTCAGCCGTTTTAGTGCTTGGAAATATTGCAATTTAATGCATATGGCGATGCGTTTTGGTACACCACAAATACTCGAAATGTTGCAGAGCTTGAAGTATCAACAAAAAATCTACGATTTAGTTAATTATTGGGCGCTGCAAACGGGTGCCATCGATGTGTGCATTGTGAAGTACCTGAAGTTGTTGTACGCCAAGTCACGCTTTCATTGCAATTACGCATTTTTCAATGGTGCACTGGAGGCCGACATCACCAAGGAATGGGATGTGAATTTATGGTGAATATGCCCGACAACTAAACATCAACTCAAATCAACTAAATGAAAAATCTAAATCTACTTCTTTTTTACTCGCAGCTTTCAGCTGTGCACTGACATCTTTGACTATTTGGAAAATTTGTTGTCGCTGCAGCATGCCATTTTCGCTGGACTGACACTGCAACAACTCTCGGTGGCCACACCTCAGACACAATGCCGCTTGCAACCGCTCATCAACATTGCGGCAGAATGTAGCATTCTATATGATCAAGCGGTGGATGCGTTGGCAGTGGTTTGTGCCAAATTGCCGATTGTCGATGTAATTGGTTTGCGTAATCGTTTCCATGCAATCTATCAGCATTTGCATGGGTTCTATTGCGCATTGCAACAGGTGAAAATTATACTCAAAATGGAATATATACCGGAGTTGTCGTCGGCGGTGCCGGAGTTTTATGGTAATAGTGATGCAAATAGTGCAGTTAACCGCCAACCAACGGCACCGTCAGTATGGGAGTTGGAGCAACCGTGAATGCAGGAGGTGTATTAGGAGCAGGGACATAGAGAGAGAGAGCGAAAAAGGGAGCCAGAAGGGGAAGTATTGTATTAAAGCATTTGCTGTGATTCTTGTAAATATCATAAGTAAGAAAAAAAAGACGAGAGATACAGTTTGAAAAATTTCAAGCAGTTATTTGTAGATACACATACAGTGACTAAAATAAGTATCCACATTTTGATATTTTTTTCTGCGAATTAAAAGTTTTTGTTATTTTTTTATAGAAATTTTGTTCAGAACCATAAAAGTCAAAGTTGAAAATTGTTTGCAAAATATAAAAAAAATTCAAAAAAAAATGTCATCTGAATTTCGAACTTTTTAATAGAAAATTAAAAAAAGATCAAATTTAAATGAAAGTTTTAAACTTTATACATTTAGAAAATTTAAACAAATTTTCATGAAAATTTTGAACATTTTTATAGAGGTTTTAAGAAACGTTTTGAGTAGTCAGTTTTATAGCCGATACAATTTCAGTGCAAGTTTCAAGCGGCTAAAAAATCGAGTTAATTTTTAATAATTTATTGTATTTTTGCTAATGGCTTTTACGGCTCTTTTGAAAAACAAGTGCAATTTAAATTCCTAAAAACTTCTATCCAAAAGTTCTACACAAGGCATATTTTTCGAATTATTTGCTATTTAAAGTGTCAAACACTGTTATTATTTTTTCACGAAAGTTCTAAATTGCCAAAATCTTTTTTAATGTGAAACTTTTTGCCATAAAAAGAAGCGATTGAAAACCTTCTTTTGGAATGTTCGCTTTACTCAGAAGCACAAACGGTGATTATTGGGTCTCACAAAGAGTGGCTCAGTGCATATCGAAGCAAAAAAAATTATCAAGAAAAAAGGAGGCACAGATTTTAATTTTAATTTAAATAAAACTTGTTTTCTCATTTCACATGTGATATTCTGCCTTATCCTGATTTCCGCGTGAAAAAAGTCCACCCAAAAATTTGTCCTCCGCCCATAGTAAAACCGTGGAAACCCACTAGTGAAAAGTGAACCGGTTCCGGGAAAATGAAACTCAAGATAAGGTTGATTTAGAAAAAGTAAAATATTTTTTTGATACTTTAGAGACCATAAGCAACAACAAAATAAATGTATGCAAATTTTGCTTTTGCTTTAATGCTACTACTTGTTTCATATTCCTTGGTTCTATAAAAAAAAAATATTTATAAAAAAGTTCAAAATTTTTATAAAATTTTTTGAATGTCTCCAAATGTTGTATAAAGTTTGAAACTTTGATTAATACAGTTTTGGGGTAAAGCATGAACAACATTTTTTTTAATATAAAAAAAAAATGAACATGTGAATACTTGTTTCAGTCACTGTATATAAAAATACCTCGTATAGGCAAAATGCAATACCGCGTAAGAGGTGGCTGAGAAAAATTTTTTTTTTTGGTACGCTGTCTCAGTGTTGGCCTACTTCACAAATATAATGGTCAATAATTTTAGTAGAAGCTCCAATTTAATAATTTCATTTGGAAAACCATTAAAACGTTTAGAAGGAAATAAGCTTATTTGCACTTTTGGGAAATTTTCGGACTATCATATACGCGGTATTGCACGCCAAGCGACGATATATTTATTTTTATGTTTAAATAATATCTAATTAAATATCGTATAAATATAATATAATAATAACTAAATGTCTAGTATATGTGTAGTTAAGAGACAATTCTGTAATGAAATATAAGTCAGTCTATGTGTAAAAGTATTACGGTTTAATGTATAAATTATGATTTCTTCAGGGCAAAATAAACCATTTTTGAAATAAAAAAATATTTTAATTTTCGTTTTTTTTTTGATTGGCACAAATATTGTTTTTTCTCCAAAAATGTTCTATTAAATGAGGCATATTTCTAATGCGCCGAAAAACAGCTCAAAGAACTCTTTGGAAACACATGTATCTCTTGCTCTCCAAAGGGTCAGTTTGACTACTTTTTTTTTGTATATTTTGTAAAAATATTGTGCCTTAAAATTTGTGAAAATCAGCTAAACGCATCCTAAAAGCATAGAATAACAAATCAAAAGCCCAAAAAATTGTCCACGTAGTTTCCTTATGGGCAGAAGTGCTCTTTAGAAAAAATCTTTTTCCTAGCCTTTAACAGCCATCTCAAAGAAAATCTCTTTCCAATTTAAGAGCCACCACAACGCGACATATGATGCGTGATGAGGATCAGCCTGGTTGGAGACCCTTCAAAAACTCTGTCCGTAACAGAGTACTTTGGATACCGGTCGGGGTTCGGCGCTTTTCTAGCCACACACCCGGGTATAGTGAATCTCTGTTCGGGTGAGCGACACCCTTTCTTCATCACATGTTGGAATGTATGTATGTGTAGTTATAAATACAACAACACTTTGAAATTGGGAATTCGGCGCTCCTCAAAAAATGTCGACGGCAGCCGCAACTCCCTTCTTACATATCGTCGTTTAAAGAACAAAACCGCGTATGTGAGTTTGCATAAATTATTTTCTAGAGAGTAAAAACATTCATATTTCACAATAGTTCTCTTTTTTATAAAGCAGTCGCATTTTTGGCTAGTATATTTCAAGGCCAACGGATCAGGATTGAGCTAAGAGCTTGTGTGAGCAAATACAATTTTTGGCAGCCAATGTCAGTTACGCGGTTTTGTACTTTAAACGACGATATGTATGTAGTACATACCTACATAGATTTATCGTGAATTTAGCTTTTCAATGGATGACTCATGTTTTGTTGGGTTTTTACTGAATGGATTGTTAATGATTATATCTGATATGAAACGTAACGTGTGTTATGTTATCTTGGCAGAATAAAATGTACGATTGATTAAAAAATTGGTTAACAATATTAAGTATAAGTACAAACACAAACCATGCCATAAACAAATTTAATACTCGATATTAGATATAGAAGTAAGAAAAGATCAGAAGATGGAGAAGAGCTTGACTTCACTTGGTGATTCCATTTGGCGACAGTTAGAACAAAAGAGAAACAACTGTCAGCCTTTATTGGACTCGGTCAGAATCGCTTAAGCGGTTAGAGGGTCAATCAAGAGGAAGAATAAAAAATTTGAACCGAGGCACTCAAGTAAAGTAACACAATCTTTTCATTTATTGAAAACAAAAACTTTGGTCAGCTTGTGTGGTCTATTCAATTACAAGTTGGTCTTCTTTATTTACTTTAATTATCAACTCCCTATCTTCGTGCTTTGTAAACCGGCACAATGCTACTGCTTGTACGCTTGTACAGATGCCTTTGTCCATTCACCCGTTTCGCTGACGTCGCAAATCGTGCGACATTTACGGTATCGATGACTTGTTTACCAATTTACATTTTGCAGCGATAAGACGCAACAAATTCAATGAAAAATTAAATGAAGTCAATGCAAATGGATTTAAGATAATTGAGTGGGGTTGGTGGAGGGGCAGAGCGGAAGGCAGAGATGGCAATGGAGTATCTACACAAATATAGACAAATGGATTATACATTTTATAGATTATTATAATATTTGAAATATCGAGTAATAACTTTTATTTATTATATACATATGTAAAGGCTATTTAAATTGAAGGCTTGGCCACACAAAATGTTATTCAAACATACATATATATGTGACCTGGTCTACGGAAAGGGGGCTTAGGTGTCAAAAAATCAATTTTCACTTTTTGGTTGATTCGCATGGAAGATGAGATGCTTTTTCACGTGGTGAAAAACAGAAAATCCTAACTTGCTTAGAAGTGTACTAAAAATGCAGAGAAAGAAGAGTAAAAATACGACAAAATACAATTTATTGGTAATGAACAAAATACATTGAATTATAATTGTTCCGCGTACTCTCGATCATTTCCCGTGGTATCAGTGTATGGCATTCATTATTACAACAATCTTTTGACAGAAATTTTGTTACCAGCTCCTCCTCCTTTACATCAACAACATACAGGTCCATCTTAACAAAAGTTTGTTCGGTATCATCTTCTGCCTGAGATACACATACTTCGTCTTCATCATCATCGCTCTCTTCATAGTTTTCATCATCGTTTTCATCATCCTTTTCATGGAAATATTGTCCGTATACGGCACTGAACTCCTCATCAACACTCATGTTTCATTTCATGCGAAATGCGAAGACGATAATCAACAGAAACAGTAAACGTCACTTCTTCAGTGTTACTTTTTTAAATGTTCCACACTAGCAACTTACACGATGAACTATAATAATATTCCGACCAACAACAACACTTACTGGACCAACAACAACACTTACTGGACGTCCGGCGCGGAGAACAATTAACGAGATAATGAGAAACTGACGAAACGAGTTGCTTACTTTTAACAGCTTTTTCACAGAAAACTAGTTTTCGCACGTAAGCTCCCTTTTCGTAGACCAGGTCACATATATGTATTTAAGTATCTATGATTCAAAACACCTCTGATAACTGGGTATACTTTCAGCTAATAATTCCACAATTTCCATCTGCTTTGGACAACAATTCTTCGGCATACTTGTAGCATAGCTCGCCTTGCGTCCTACGTATGTATATACGTACGACTCTTTAGATAGTCTTGTTGAGCAGTGCGCCGTGAAAAGAAGTTAGGCGGCTTAAAGCTTAGTGGGTAGACTATTTTATGGACATTACCGGCGAGATCGCTAAACTTTAGTCCCTTAGCGAAGGTTTCGTTCTACTTTCCATGAGGGAGAACTTGTCTACCATTTTATCAAAACGATCACGTTTTAAAGCGAGGACAGAAACCATTTGAGATTTAGTTACAAAATTTGGTGGAAAACTCTGCTGGCCATATACACTGCCGGAGAAAAGTATTGGCACAGCGAATTTTGCTCAATAAATGTACCAATTTCTATGCTAATATTTTTCCGCAATTTTTTTTTTATAAAAAATCAATTAAAAAAATAAAAATAAAAGTTATCACTTTTTCTGCCCTACAATGTTCTACAAAAAAATTCTGTTAGGGCTAGTATACATACATACATATATCAAAAATTAAATATTATTACGTATGCAAGTGTGCAAAGGAAAACATAAAATACTTGGTGCCTAAGCACCCCAAAAATAAGAAAAATATTAGAAAACATGTAGGTACCAGAAATTTTGAGAAATTTGACATAAAAAACCTACATAGTAGGGTGGTGCTTAAAATATAAACATCATGGGCACACCTTTATTTTATTCTACTAACAAATTTCGAAATAAAACAAATTTTTGGTAATTTTTTTTTTTTCAATCGC